ATTGGGAACAAGACAAGGTTGCCCACTCTCACCGCTCTTATTCAACATAGTTTTGGAAGTTTTAGCCACAGCAATCACAGAAGAAAAGGAAATAAAAAGAATCCAAATCGGAAAAGAAGAAGTAAAGCTGTCACTGTTGGCAGATGACATGATACTATACATAGAGAATCCTAAAGATGCTACCAGAAAACTACTTGAACTAATCAATGAATTTGGTAAAGTAGCAGGATACAAAATTAATGCACAGAAATCTCTGGCATTCCTATACACTGAGGATGAAAAATCTGAAAGTGAAATCAAGAAAACACTCCCATTTACCACTGCAACAAAAAGAATAAGCTATCTAGGAATAAACCTACCTTAGGAGACAAAAGACAAGTATGCAGAAAATTATAAGACAGTGATGAAAGAAATTAAGGATGATACAAATAGATGGAGAGATATACCATGTTTTTGGATTGGAAGAATCAACATTGTGAAAATGACTCTACTTCCCAAAGCAATCTATAGATTCAATGCAATCCCTATCAAACTACCACTGGCATTTTTCACAGAACTAGAACAAAAAATTTCACAATTTGTATGGAAACACAAAAGACCCCGAATAGCCAAAGCAATCTTGAGAACAAAAAATGGAGCTGGAGGAATCAGGCTGCCTGACTTCAGACTATACTACAAAGCTACAGTAATCAAGACAGTATGGTACTGGCACAAAAACAGAAAGATAGATCAATGGAATAGGATAGAAAGCCCAGAGATAAACCCATGCACATATGGTCACCTTAATTGGCATTTTTCACAGACCTAAAACAAAAAATTTCACAATTTTTGTGGAAACAAAAAAGACCCCGAATAGCCAAAGCAATCTTGAGAACGAAAAATGGAGCTGGAGGAATCAGGCTCCCTGACTTCAGAGTATACTACAAAGCTACAGTAATCAAGACAGTATGGTACTGGCACAAAAACAGAAATACAGATCAATGGAATAGGATAGAAAGCCCAGAGATAAACCCATGCACATATGGACACCTTATCTTTGATAAAGGTGGCAGAAACGTACAGTGGAGAAAGGACAGCCTCTTCAATAAGTGGTACTGGGAAAACTGGACAGGTACATGTAAAAGTATGAGATTAGATCACTCCCTAACACCATACACAAAAATAAGCTCAAAATGGATTAAAGACCTAAATGTAAGGCCAGGAACTATCAAACTCTTAGAGGAAAATATAGGTAGAACACTCTATGACATAAGTCACAGCAAGGTCCTTTCTGACCCACCTCCTAGAGAAATGGAAATAAAAACAAAAATAAACAAATGGGACCTAATGAAACTTCAAAGCTTTTGCACAGCAAAGGAAACCATAAACAAGACAAAAAGACAACCCTCAGAATGGGAGAAAATATTTGCAAATGAATCAACTGACAAAGGATTAATCTCCAAAGTTTAGAAGCAGCTCATGCAGCTCAGTAACAAAAAAACAAACAACCCAATACAAAAATGGGCAGAAGCCCTAAACAGACATTTCTGCAAAGAAGATATACAGATTGCCAACAAACACATGAAAGAATGCTCAACATCATTAAACATTAGAGAAATGCAAATCAAAACTACAATGAGATATCATCTCACACCAGTCAGAATGGCCATCACAAAAAATCTAGAAACAATAAATGCTGGAGAGGGTGTGGAGAAAAGGGAAATCTCTTGCACTGCTGGTGGGAATGTGAATTGGTTCAGCCGCTATGAAGAACAGTATGGAGGTTCCTTAAAAAACTACAAATAGAACTACCATATGACCCAGCAATCCCACTACTGGGCATATACCCTGAGAAAACCAAAATTCAAAAAGAGTCAGGTACCAAAATGTTCATTGCAGCTCTATTTACAATAGCCCAGAGATGGAAAAAACCTAAGTGCCCGTCGTTGGATGAATGGATAAAGAAGATGTGGCACATATATACAATGGAATATTACTCAGCCATAAAAAGAAATGAAATTGAGCTGTTTGTAATGAGGTGGACAGACCTAGAGTCTGTCATATAGAGTGAAGTAAGTCAGAAAGAGAAAGACAAATACCATATGCTAACACATATATATGGAATTTAAGAAAAAAAAATGTTATGAAGAACCTAGGGGTAAGACAGGAATAAAGACACAGACCTACTGGAGAATGGACTTGAGGATACGGGGAGGGGGAAGGGTGAGCTGTGACAGGGCGAGAGAGAGGCATGGACATATATACACTAATAAACGTAAGGTAGATAGCTAGTGGGAAGCAGCCGCATGGCACAGGGATATCGGCTCAGTGCTTTGTGACCGCCTGGATGGGTGGGATAGGAAGGGTGGGAGGGAGGGAGACACAAGAGGGAATAGATATGGGAACATATGTATATATATAACTGATTCCCTTTGTTATAAAGCAGAAAGTAACACACTATTGTAAAGCAATTATACCCCAATAAAGATGTTAAAAGAAAAGGAAAGAAAAGCTGAAAAAAATAAAGTCTCCTGGTATGATTGCGTTACTGTCGATTTCCCCTTTCATGTCTGTTAGTATTTGCCTTATGTATTGAGGTGCTCCTATGTTGGGTGCATAAATATTTACAATTGTTATATATTCTTGGATTGACCCCTTGATCATGCTGTAGTGTCCTTCTTTGTGTCTTGTAATAGTCTTTGTTTTAAAGCCTATTTTGTCTGGTATGAGAATTGCTACTCCAGATTTCTTTTGATTTCCATTTGCATGGAATATCTTTTTCCATCCCCTCACTTTCAGACTGTATGTGTCCCTAGGTCTGAAGTGGGTCTCTTGTAGACAGCATATATATGGATTGTGTTTTTGTATCCATTCAGCCAGTCTATGTCTTTTGGTTGGAGCAATTAATCCATTTACATTTAAGTTAATTATTGATATGTATGTTCCTATTACCATTTTCTTAATTGTTTTGGGTTTATCATTGTAGGTCTTTTCCTTCTCTTGTGTTTCCTCTCTAGAAAAGTTCCTTTAGCATTTGTTGTAAAGCTGGTTTGGTGGTGCTGAATTCTCTTACCTTTTGCTTGTCTGTAAATGTTTTAATTTCTCCGTCAAATCTGAATGAGATCCTTGCTGAGTAGAGTAATCTTGGTTGTAGGTTTTTCCCCTTCATCACTTTAAATATGTCCTTCTACTCCCTTTGGGCTTGCAGAGTTTCTGCTGAGAGATCAGCTGTTGACCTTATGGGGGTTCCCTTTTGTGTTATTTGTTGTTTTTCTCTTGCTGAGTTTAATATTTGTTTTTTGTTTTAATTTTTGATAGTTTGATTAATATGTGTCATGGCGTGTTTTTCCTTGGATTTATCCTGTATGGGACTCTGTGTGGTTCCTGGACTTTATTAAGTATTTTCTTTCCCATACTAGGGAAGTTTTCAACTATAATCTCTTTAAATATTTTCTCAGTCCCTTTCTTTTTCTCTTCTTCTGGGACCCCTGTAATTCGAATGTTGGTGTGTTTAATGTTGTCCCATATGTCTTTGCGACTGTCCTAAATTCTTTTCATTTTTTTTTCTTTATTCTGCTCTGCAGTCGTTATTTCCACTATTTTATCTTCCAGGTCATTTATCTGTTCTTCTGTTTCAGTTATTCTGCCATTGATCCCTTCTCGAGAATTTTTAATTTCATTTATTGTGTTGTTCATCACTGTTTGCTCTTTAGTTCTTCCAGGTTCTTGTTAAACGTTTCTTGTATTTCCTCCATTCTATTTCCAAGATTTTGGATCATCTTTACTATCGTTATTCTGAACTCTTTTTCAGGTAGACTGCTTATTTCCTCCTCATTTGTTAAGTCTGGTGGGTGTTTGCCTTGCTCCTTCATCTGCCATGTGTCTCTCTGTCTTCTCATTTTGCTTAACTTACTGTGTTTGGGGTCTCCTTGTCACAGGCTGCTGGTTGGTAGTTCCCGTTGTTTTTGGTGTCTGTCCGCAGTGGCTAAGGTTGTTTCAGTGGGTTGTGTAAGCTTCCTGGTGGAGGGGACTGGTGCCTGTGTTCTAGTGGATGAGGCTGGATCTTGTCTTTCTGGTGGGCAGGTCCACGTCTGGTGGTATGTTTTGGGGTGTCTGTTGACTTATTATGATTTTGAGTAGCCTCTCTGCAAATGGGTGGGTTTGTGTTCCTGTCTTGCTAGTTGTTTGGCATAGGGTGTCCAGCACTGTAGCTTGCTGGTCGTTGAGTGGAGCTGGGTCTTGGTGTTGAGATGGAGATCTCTGGCAGATTTTTGCCGTTTGATATTATGTGGAGCTGGGAGGTCTCTTGTTGACCAGTGTCCTGAACGTGTCTCTCCCACCTCAGTGGCACAGCATTGACTCTTGGCTGGAGCACCAAGAGCCTGTCCTCCACAAGGCTCAGAATAAAAGGGGAAGAAAAAAGAAAGAAAGAAAGAAGAAGATAAAATAAAATAAAGTAAAATAAAATAAAGTTATTAAAATAAAAAATATTAAGAAAAATATTTTTTAAGTAATTAAAAAATAAAATAAAAACGGACAGACAGAACCCTAGGATAAATCATAAAAGCAAAGCTATACAGACAAAATCACACACAGAAGCATACACATACACACTCACAAAAAGAGAAAAAGGGGAAAATATATATATATATAATTGCTCCCAAAGTCCACCTCCTCAATTTGGGATGATTCGTTGTCTATTCAGGTATTCCACAAATGCAGGGTACATCAAGTTGATTGTGGAGCTTTAATTAGCTGCCCCTGAGGCTACTGGGAGAAATTTCCTTTTCTTTGTTCGCACATCTCCCGGGGTTCACAGCTTTGGATCTGGCCCTGCCTCTGCGTGTAGGTCGTCTGAGGGCATCTGTTTTTCGCTCAGACAGGATGGGGTTAAAGGAGCAGCTGGTTTGGGGGCTCTGGCTCACTCAGGCGGGGGGTGGGGGTGGAGGGAGGGGCACGGAGTGCGGGACAAGCCTGTGGCAGCCTAGGCCGGCTACCGTTGCACCAGCCTGAGGCACGCCATGTGTTCTCCCAGGTAAGTTGCCTCCGGATCACGGGACCCTGGCATTGGCGGGCTGCAAAGGCTTCCAGGAGGGGAGGTGTGGATAGTGACCTGTGCTCGCACACAGGTTTCTTGGTGGCTACAGCATTAGCCTTAGCATCTCATGCCCGTCTCTGGGGTCTGCGCTGATAGCCGCGGCTCGCCCTTGTCTCTGGAGCTCCTTTAAGCTGTGCTCTTATTCCCCTGTCCTCACGCACCAGGAAACAAAGAGGTAAGAAAAAGTCTCTTGCCTCTTTGGCAGCTCTAGACTTTTTCCCGGATTCCCTCCCGGCTAGCTGTGGCGCACTAGCCCCCTTCAGGCTGTGTTCACGCCGCCAACTCCAGTCCTCTCCCTGGGATCCGACCTCTGAAGCCCCCGAGCCTCAGCTCCAGGCCCCGCCCACCCCGCCCCGGTGGGTGAGCAGACAAGCCTTGCAGGCTGGTGAGTGCTGTTCGGCACCGGTCCTCTGTGCGGGAATCTGTCCACTTTGTCCTCCGCACCCCTGTTGCTGCGCTCTCCTCCGCGGCTTCGAAGCTTCCCCCTCCGCCACCCGCAGTCTCCGCCCGCGAAGGGGCTTCTAGTGTGTGGAAACCTTTCCTCCTTCACAGCTCCCTCCCGCTGGTGCAGGTCCCGTCCCTATTCTTTGTCTGTTTTTTCTTTTTTCTTTTGCCCTACCCAGGTACGTGGGGAGTTTCTTGCCCTTTGGGAAGTCTGAGGTCTTCTGCCGGTGTTCAGTAGGTGTTCTGTAGGAGTTGTTCCACGTGTAGATGTATTTCTGATGTATTTGTGGGGAGGAATGTGATCTCTGAGTCTTAATCTTCCGCCATCTTGAAGGTCCTCCTGTTTGTTGTTTTTATGTTCTGGAACCTTAGGTCTTGTCCATCAAAAACTGCCTTTCGACAGCCAGTTGTCTAGATTCTTTTAAATCAGTCAATGTCCATTGTCAGTATTTTCCATACACAACAGAATTCAGGTCTCTCAAGTTTCACTAGTGGTAATTTGTTACACAGCAAGCAACAGAAGATTAATATACCAGTGTTCGTTTTATGGGTGCTGGTAAAGCAGGAAAAGAATGTTTGAGCATCTCTACCTACAAACAGGCTAGATTCCAAAGGCTTTACTAAGTATATTTCCTTTCAAATCTGAAGTGATATTATGCAAATCACTAATAGGACCTCTCCAGAATGGGAGGTTGAGGATGCATATTTGCTTTCATGCATTGCTTGTTCACATTCATAAAAGTTGATATTATGTTGAAAGTTTATTCATATAGGATTAAGTAGTTTATTGGCTAAATGTATTACTTATGCCAACACTATTACCTTCTTAACTGTTTAGGTCCAAACAGTTTATATCTTTCATGCTGGCACTTATGTATAAAAGTATTTTATATTAAAAACAATTCCTGTAAATCAATCAATATTTATTAAAAGTCTACTTAGAGTAAATCAATGCACTAAATATTGTGAAACATGAAAAATACCTCTGCCCCCAAAGAATTAGCTTTTCAATACACACACAAAAAGATAAATTCTAATGAAAGGGATAAATTAAGTTGACTACAATGGCAAGTTGCAGAGAAGGAGCACTAGAAAATGAGTTAGATGACCTGGGTCCTTTTAAGTCTCCTGGTTCTAACAAATAAGGCATCTTCTCTCTCAGCCTCTGTTGTTTCATATGTAAGGTTGGTATAATACCTTCCTGATTCTCATGGATTTATAAAATTCCTATTCTGTACCAGGCACCTTATTAGGTCTTAATGATTAAAAGATGAACATGACTAGTTTAACCCATTGAGTTCACTGTTATGTATAGGTTAATATACTTGAAAATAAACAGTTACTACAATGTGGTTATCACTATTGTTGAGCATAACTAGAGGAAGAGCAAAGAGTTACCTTTTTTCTCCTAAACTGTGGAAATTTCCTCTAATCCAGAGGTGATGCAATATAAAGTATATAGCATCACTTTTGAAGTATTTTTGCCCAATGAATTTAAATCTAATCAAATCTTTAGATCTAAATTTAAGCTTATAAGAAATGAGGGGGATAGAACAAGTTAAATGAGATCACAAGAAAGCATTCAGACAAGTCCAGAAGGTGGACATTCTAAAGAAAAGCTGGCCTTGATCTCTTCAACAAGTCAATGCCATTAAAAATTAAAAAGCAAGCTGGAGTCTTTTATATTAAAAAAGACTTAAAAGACATAACAACCAAGGTACTATGAGGTCCTTGATTTGTACAATCCATCTGTAAATAGGGACAATAAAGGAAATCTGAATATGGATTTTGTTTAGAAGATAAAGATTAGAGAAATACTGTTAATTTTTTAAGAGTGTTATGGTATTATGGTTATATTGTAAATATCTTAATTGCTTATAATAATGATTTGGTAAAAACTCATGAAGTCCTATTTTACATTAAAATACAGCAGAAAATAATGAATGAAGCCATTATAGCAAAAATGTTAACTGACAAGGGTGTTCTACTATACCATTCTTTCTAAATTTCTGTGTCTGAAAAATTTCATAATAGTTAAAAATGAAAGATAAAGAATAAATGAGACAATATATTTGAAATCACTTTGTAAACTTTAAAAGGATAGATAAAAGAGTTTTTTTTTTAAGAAATTGTTGGAGAAAGAAGGAATGGTTCTTTTTCAAGCATATGTGCTACTTTGGACCACACTGCTAAGAGAAGCCAGGACTGGCCACCACAGAGATCCACCCAATGCCTCTAGAAATAGAAACCAGGAGCAATAGCATGGATTCCCAGATACTGATCTTTTTAATACCTCCCTTCATGCCGAGATGACCTTGACCAAAATTGAAGACAAATGTCTTCTTGCTGGGAAAGGTAGGCTAAAGCAACGTGCATTTATCCAAGAAGAAGCAGAAAGCCTGTAACCATTACGACATGAGAGTAACTGGTGAGTTTTCCTTTTTGCAGATCGGTAGGATTTGGCACCCAAAGCAGAGGTTTGAAACCATGGATGATTGCCCTTATTGTGTTATTACTGACAGTGGTAACTGTGGCCACTGGTCTTCTGGCTCACTTCTTACTCTCTGGTAGGTAAAATTGTGGATTTTGCTCAGTTTGATTTCAGTTTTCTGTAAAGCTTCATTTGAATAAATTTAAATTTATTTCCATCCAAAAGTAATGTACTTTCACTAGTAAATGTCCACATTTTGAATTTTTTAATTTATTCAGTCATTTCATCAAAAAAAAAACTACTGAATGTTTAGTATGTCCAAGTACTTTTCAGGGCACTCTAGAAACAGCATTAAGCAAAGCAGATAAATCTCCCACCTCCTTGGAGCTCACAGTCTAGTATTCTTTTCAGAATCTATACAAAAGACCAAAATAGTAATTGTCTAAAATTTACTAGTAATCACAATAAACTCTATAATCATTCATGTATATACAAGTGAAAAATTATGATGAATTAGTTATTAAAATTGGCTCTTTTACTCAGCATTTTCTGCCCACTAACATTTCTAGGGAAAAAAGAAAAGCACATGTCCAATGAAATAATGAATTTTAAAATTATTGGTAAAGTATAAATATGATACAGTATTATTACTTTTTTTTTTTTTTTTTTTTTTTTTTTGCGGTCCACGGGTCTCTCACTGCTGTGGCCTCTCCCGTTGCGGAGCACAGGCTCCTGACGCGCAGGCTCAGCGGCCATGGCTCACGGGCCCAGCCGCTCCGCAGCATGTGGGATCCTCCCAGACTGGGGTACGACCCCGTGTCCCCTGCATCAGCAGGCGGACTCTCAACCACTGCGCCACCAGGGAAGCCCCCCTATTACTTATTTTTAGAGAAAAAATTTTATTCTTTCCAAAACAATATCGAGAGATTATTTTTCTACTGCCTGATATATTTATAATCCCACAAAAATTCATTGCAGAATTCTCTTTTTATATTGCATCACTCTGCAGAGTGCAAACCATATACATTTTTGACAAATGTCCATAATGTCAATCTCACACAGATGTATGTGATAAGACAACTAGTTCAGGGGACTTACTTGAATGGACTTATCTGTTGTCTCTTTCCTCAGACTTGATGGGGGAGTCAAGATTCTTTTAGGAGCTTTAAAAGGCTTAAGAACATAGTTCTGGGGCCCATATAATGACCCCATCTGTAGTTTACACCAATGGCAAAAGATTCTCAGGTCAGCTAATTTAATGTATAGAAGCCCCTTTTCTATGAGTAGAGGGTTCAATTACAAATGGACTATATAGATTAGTAATCGAGGGGACCAAAAAAGCACTACAGAGTCTAGAGATGTCCCTAGGAGACAGACTATCCTGAGGTCCTCTTTCTTTCCTAGATCCACAGCTTCCCAAGGAGAGATGTGCTTCTGTGGTTGCTCCATTTTCTACCTTTAACTCTTTGTAGATTTCTTGCCCCACCAGGGCCATACTCCTAAGATTACCACACTCCTCCACTGCTCTGTTTTTTATAACCTTTCCTGAGAGACAGCAGAAATCTGATTGATTCATCTCTTTTACACACTGTTCTCACCTCCAACCTCAGGCAGTTTTTTCCCCACCTTTCTTTTCACACCTTTCTTAGTGTGCCTGGCTCTTCCATTAAAAACCAAAATTTACAAGAACACTTATTTACCTCTACTTCCAGTAGAGTACAAGGTGGTATACATTTCACCACAGCAAGAAGCAATACAGTAATTAAATATTCCAGCTCTAGAGCCACACTTGTCTGGGTTTAAACTTGGAGAGGCCACTAACTAGTTGTATAGCACGGAGCAAGTTACTTAATGCCTCCTGCCTCACTTTCTTCATCTGTAAAATGAAGGTGATGCCAGTCTTAGAGAGCTTAGTGAGAGTCAAATGAATTAATACATATAAAGTGCCCAGAACAGAGCTTGGCACATAGTAGGCACTGAATAAATACCAGCTACTATTATTAACATACAACATTAATCATTATTTTTATTATATTTATTATTAAACTAAAGTCTCAGAGATATATTCAAGACTTCATATTAGCCCCATTATAGTTGGGCCTTAGATCCCAAAATCTACCCTCAAACCACTTAATTTCCTACTTTTTCTTTTCATCACAGGCCAGAAAATGGAGTATTATCATGGCACCTTTAAAATTTCAGATCTACGAGTCAAAAGTAATTCTGGACAAAGCAGCCCACACCAGCTTAAGGACTTACAGGGGATGAGTGAAAACTTGGTAAGTCAGATAAAATTGTTTCTATCTTAAAATATTGCAGGAGGAAGGGATTCTGTGAATCATTTTCCCCACTATTTCTTAAAACATGATTTTCAGACAATTTGCATCAGAATCATCTTGCAGATTCCCAGGTCCCACTCCAGATCTTCTGAATCAGTGTCTGATGGGGTGGGTGGGTAGGGAGAGGGGAGTAAGGGAATCTGCATTCTAGCAGATTGGTGATTCTGATAAACCACTTTTTAAACCACCTCATTTAAAAGTGAGAGAACGGAAGCCAAGGTATCCCAGCCCTTCGCTCCCCCATTCCACCACGATACTACCCAACTGAAAAGCTTAAACATACCAGAAGTGGTTATTTGTAAAACCACATGCTTTTTTTGTTAGACCACATTTTAAGGCTTAAAATATTTTTTTAAATACATGAAAAAAGGAAAGAGGATTATAAATGTTCGTTTTATCTCAAAAACACACTAATTAAGATAAAATACCCAGACCTATTGTGCAATATTCAAATGAACTACTAACGATTTTGTTAAAACTGAAATACAAGACTGTCCCCACCCCCCCAAAAAAAAGTAAACTCAGTTGCATAACAGCTCTGCTCACGATGTGTGTGAACCCTCACTCAAAAACTAAGGTCAAGTTAACTTCCTTGACAAAGAAGCACAGAACATAAAATTATTTTAGAAGGGTGGAAATGTCAGGTGTTGGCTTGTTTTAGTCAAAGAATCATTTTTTTCTCAAACCATTTTCATGCCACTATTTGATCTTTGTCCACACGCATACCCAGTTGCAACATATTCACAGCCACATCACAAATGGAGCTTTTAATCTATATTTTCAATTCTCATTAAATTATGCAGTTTTTTTTTTTATTTTGCAGTCTCATCCCCCCAGATCAATAATTACATTTATAGATTGATATATATCCTCCATTCTTTTATATTCAGTGCACCTTAGAAAATAGCATTTGTGATCATTTCTTGAGGAATGCCAGAAAAAACTTGGATACTTACCCTAGTACCTCTTTTATTCCTCTGACCCTGAGTGACTCCACATAACCTCCTCAATGTAAAAATATTAATAATAAATTAATTAATCTTAGTTAAAAAGATATACAATTTCTTTGAACGCTGAAAAAATATTTATAATTTAACAGGAAAGTTTAAAATTTGTTTTCTTTATGTTTTACAGCCAATATTGTTGGCATTGTTTTAGGCTAACTAAGACATTGTTTCTACTGAAGTAACTAGACAGGAATGAAGTAGGTCTTTTTTAAAAAAGTGAAAGAAATTCACTTATAGAGGTACGTCTAGAACATTATGTGTTTGAAGGTGAACTTTGAAGCTTCACTCAAGCACACGTTTTTAGGTGTGAAAGAACCTCAGGTACAAAGGCTGAGTTACGTGATGAAACGTTATCATCATAAGGACCTACAAGGCCTTTCTCTAGTTGTCATTATTTATTTCTTCTCTTTTATTTTCATACCACACTCATTCTCCTCCCCCTGCAGATAACCATACTGTATTTCACATGTATTCTTTTATTAGTATTCATTCTTGCAAAAATGCATTTTCTTGTTTTGTGCAGAGCACACGGTTTTAATTTATTCTTTGTGTTATAAATCCCTTGTTTTAGTCAATTTGGGCTGCTATAAAAATGTACCATAGTTTGAGTGGCTTATAAACAACAGAAATTTATTTCTCATAGTAATGGAGGCTGGAAGTCTGAAACCATGACATTAACATGGTCAGGTTCTGGCAAGAACCTTCTTTCATGTGGCAGACTTCAGACTTCTTGGTGTATCCTTACATGGTGCAGAGCAGGGAGCTAAAGAGCTCTCTGGGGTCTCTTTTATAAGGTACTAATCCCATTCATGATCTAATCACCTCCCAAAGGCCGCACCTCTTCATATATGGCCTTCATTATGTTAAAGCAGGTTCCCTCAATGCCCACTTTCTGGAGGGTCTGTAACATAAATCAGTGTTGGATTTTGTCAAAAGCTTTTTCTACATCTATTGAGATGATCATATGGTTTTTATTCTTCAGTTTGTTAATGTGGTGTATCACAATGACTGATTTGCAGATACTGAAAAATTCTTGCATCCCTGGGAAAAATCCCACTTTATCTTGGGGTATGACCCCTTCAATGTATTGTTGGATTCAGTTTGCTAGTATTTTGTTGAGGATCTTTGCATCTATATTTATCAGTGATATTGACCTGTAATTTTCTTTTTTTGTGGTATCTTTGTCTGGTTTTGGTATCAGGGTGATGCTGGCCTCATAGAATGACTTTGGGAGTGTTCCCTCCTCTGCAATTTTTCTGGAAGAGTTTCAGAAGGATAGGTGTTAACTCTTCTATAAATGTTTGATAGAATTTGCCTGTGAAGCCATCTAGTCCCGGACTTTTGTTTGTTGGGAGTTTTTTAATCAGTTTCAATTTCAGTACTGGTGATTGGTCTGTTCATATGTTCTATTTCTTCCTGGTTCAGTCTTGGGAGATTGTACCTTTCTAAGAATTTGTCCATTTCTTCTAAGTGTTTATTTTATCAGTATATAGCTGCTTGTAGTAGTCTCTTAAGACCTTTTGTATTTCTGTGGTGTCCATTGTATAATAACTTTCTCCTTTTCCATTTCTAATTTTATTGATTTGAGCCCTCTCCCTCTTTTTCTTGATGAGTCTAGCTGAAGATTTATCAATTTTGTTTATCTTTTCAAAGAACTAGTTTTTAGTTTCATTGATCTTTTCTGTTTTCTTCATCTCTATTTCATTTATTTCTGCTCTTTTATGATTTCTAGATAGGAACAGTTTATTGGTAGTATACATTGCACTTATCCATTCCATCTTTTATTAATTTGGACCGTATTGCCCTTCATAAAACAAAAATCCATAATTTTAAAGTAATCATATTTATCAGTTTTCTCAGCCTTATGGTTGTGTTTTTAAAGATTTTTTTTAAAGTTATTTCCTCTTTTAAGTTATAAAATTATTTTACTGTATTTTCTTCTATTAAGCTATTAAACTTCTACCTTCTACAGAAGGTTTTTAATGCATCTGAAGTCCACCTTTGAATGTGATATTAAGTAGGAACCCAGGTAGTGATCCAGTTTTCTCAATGTAAAACAATCTGTCTCACCAATATATGGTATGATTATTCAGCTTATGACACTTCTTAGCCCCTGAGTCTTACAGAAAAAAAACGATGATCCTCATCTCTTCAAACTGCTTCCCATCTCCTTGGAGAGATAATAGTAACACACATGAAACTGAACAGCATGACATGATATGGTTAAGGACTAAACTGTATGTTGAGGACTGTTAAGTGCAGAAGAACTTCAAAGAAAAGGAAGATCAACTAGGGTTCACGTGGTCAGGAAAGGCTGTGTATTATTTTAGCCCTGTTTAAGTGAAACAATGTCCCTTTCCCTCCAATCCCCACCAATTTACCTTCAGGAGAATTACAGGAAGTGTTCATGCTTCATCCTGAGCCACTCCTTTTTATTGTTGCTAAATCCCAATGAGTGAAACCAGATTCTTCTCTCTGACCTATGTGTGTGCTAATTAGACAGCCAAGAAATACAGGTTGTAGGTCCTGTTCTTCCTCATAATTGGGGATTCACTGATTTGAATGGAAACGGAGATGCAAATATAAAATGAGTTCATGCTCAGATACTGCTAAAACCCATTCCAGTTCCTTGAGATAGTAGCACAGACATATCTCATCTTTCATACCATTCTTCAGAGAATACTCCAGTAACCAGACACCATGATATTCCTGAATAGGTAGGTCATTTTTTATTATTATAAGTTTGAGTAGGATCACTGACTGAGCGAGCACTTCATTTGAAGAAATATATTTCAGAAATATTTTTAAAGTATAGTGTCATTACAAATGTGAAAATTAAAAACTTGTAACACTATAGCAATAACACTAGTTAACATATACTGAATGCCAAGCACTTAATTAGCTTAGCACATTAAGCACTGTATCTGTATTATTTTAGTTAATCCTCAAAAACAAACTTATGAGGTAAGTATAATTATTATCACAATTTTACAAATTGAAAAATCAAGGTACACAAAAGTTAATTTACCCAAGATCATTCAGCTAGTAAAAGATATAGTTAGGGTTTTAGATTACATTTTCTTAATACATTTTTGTCATCCATAAGAATCATCTGTGTGATTTTACTTCCCATATACCATCCCACAAAACACCAGAAATCAAGTAATTATCCCTGGTACATTATTCTCTTTCAGTTACAGTTGACCCTTGAACAACATGGGTTTGAACTGCGCGGGTTCACTTACATGCAGTCTTTTCAATAAATACGTGTTATAAATAAATAAATAAATAAATAAATATGTGCTACAGTACTACATGATTGGTGGTTGGTTGAATTTACAGATGCAGAACCAGGGATACAGAGGGCCAACTATGAAGTTATATGCAGATTTTTGACCCAACCCCCCACATGGTTCAATGGTCATTGAATACTGTATAGTATTAGCATGTGCCAGTGACCACCATCTGAATTAACAATGGCATCAGTTAGGAATTTTCTTAATGTTGTCTCCAAAAAAACCCACTTCTCCTGTGCCCAAAGCAGTCCTAAATTTTATCTTCTTTGTGCCCAGGAACACCAGAAACAGTGCCTGAAATGATCCTCATACTGTCCTTTGGACTATGTGTCTAGAGTTGTAGAGACAAAGAACTTGGAAACAGAAGTGATGTAAGGAGATAATGTAGTTTAGGAACACTCTCTAAAGGAACTTGAAGACACCAGTGAGAGACTTGGCTCTCTGAAGCAGGAAGCTCTTCTCTTGAGAAAAGGCAACTGGGTCAAGGTAAACAACTTAGCAAAGGTATTAGACTACCTAAAGTTTGGAGTTGCATAATGTAAGAGAAGAAAGAAGCCCAATGCCTGGTGTAGGCCTATGGTCCTATGCCCAGAGAAGAGATGAATTTGAAAGCTTATTTGAAAGCTTAGAAAAGAAA